ATGAATTTGACCTAACCGGTCTTGGCTTCATAGGAGCATCTCTTGGATTTGGCTTCTTGGCCGAAATTCCCTTCTTACCCATGGGATTCATATTCTTTGCCTTGTGGGTTTGATTCTTGGCCTTCTGCGCGTTCCAGTCACCATTGTCTGAACCTAAACTGGAAGGATTTCTTTTGAAGTATCTCCCACTTTGCGCGTTCTGTCAGCCTTGAGCATAGTAGGGAATGTATGTGCGATTAGGACAATTTCTGGCAATGTGTCCAGGTGTTCCACAGTGAAAACAAGTCTTTTTCTTCACTGTGAAGTTATTTCTTCCTGCCCCTGGTGGCATATCCTTGCCTTGTCTCTTATTGATCCCAGATGCACACTTGCAATAGACACTCTGTTGCGCTGGAATTGGAGGCCTATATTTCTCAATGGCAGGTTTGTTAGGAGTAACAGAATTCGAAGCAATAGATTCTGAGTTCAAGGAGATGTTGGATTGTTCAATGGTTTTCTCCTTGTTCTCATCTTCTACTACTTTACCTGCACATAAAGTAGAAACATTAGTATTTTTAACTTGAATACCTCCTGACACAAATCCAACTGGTTTTCCATATTGAAGATGTGCCTCCCTGTTAATTTCTTCCTGTGTCATAGGGATGGATGTGTATTTATGATTGAAAGATGGAGGAACACTATCATACCCTAGACCCTTATTTTGATTATCTTTGAATTTTAATTAGGTTTCAAATAAGGACTCAACTGCTTGACTTGATGCATTATAATTTTTGAAACTAACATCTGTTTTTCCACACTTAATATTTAAAGTGTCAAGTTCTTCAGTTACAGCAGCAAGTTATCTCTTAATATAGTCATAATTTTTACACTTGTTGCTATACTCTTCCTGAAGTTTCCTAAAGTCCTTGGTTTTTGCTTCTAATTCAGCCTTCAGGGGTTTCTGTCCTTTCCTGAGTTGATATCCTTCATATCTCAGGTCCTCAACTTCTCTTTTTAATAAATCAATTTGTTCCCGAAGAAATTTAATCGTAGTTTCACAAGCTGGAGTACATGTAACTTAAGTGACCGGAATGTTTTCATAACTCATTATTTTTCTACACTTCAAAGCATCAAGTTCTTCAATTACATCAGCAAGACTAAGATGATTGAGATCTTTTGTCTTCTTGATGATAGCCATGTTCATATCCCACGATTTCGGAAGTGAATTCAGTAGCTTTTTGTTTATGTCAAACTTAGACAAGAAGATCCCAACTATATTCATCTCAGTAGTGAGTGTGGTAAATCGTTGCAACTGAGTTTCGAGGGTTTCTCCAGGGATATAATAAAAAATGTTGAAATTTTGTCTTAACATATCCTGACGACTCTCTTTCATGTTTTCAACTCCCTCGTAGACCTTAAAATCAATTAAAAAGCACAACTAGAAGCCAAAATAAAACTTAAAAGTCAAACCCTTTGATTATAAACCTCAAAAGTCAACCTTAAATGTCAAATTTATAAAGTTAAACTCAAAAGTCAAACTTGAAAAGTCAAAACGAAAAACTAAATTTGAAAATTTAAAAGTTAAACGAAAAAGTCAAAGTTTAAAGTCAAAGGTCAAACTTGGAAGTCAAAGTCAAAATTTAAGGTCAAAAGTTAAAAAATAAAAGTCAAAATTTAAAATTTATTAATTTTAATTTATTTTTAATTTATTTATTATTTTTATTTTATTTAATTTTTTTATTAATTTTGGATGAAAAGGGAATTTAAAATTCAAAAGGAATTGAATTTTGGGTTAATTGTGTCAAATTTTGAAAGTTGAAACCGAGAATAACGGGTTATAGTTTAAATTTCGAAGGAAAGAAACAACGATTCGGCTAGTTGAATTGGGTAAGGTGCGGAGGTTATGAACTTGAGGTCCCGGGTTTGATTCCCGGCACCCCTACTTTCGTCCCCCCCCCCCCCCCTTTTTTTATTGAAGCGCTGAAGCTTACTGCTGCTGAGCCGAGCCGTCCTTCAAGCCGCGCAAGTTCGACCCGCAAGCCGCCGAGCCGAATTCCGAGCCGAGGCTGCAAACCTCCGGCGACTGTGAACAGTTTCCAGCCATAAACGCCGGCCGTAAACCCTTTAAAGGTCGTAAACTCTGGGGCCACAAGCTCGGGCCGTGAACTCCGAAACCCTAGCCGCCGACCGCAAACTCCGCCACACCTCGCAGGTTTCGACCAAAAACATCGATTTTTCGATTTTGATGCTCCAAAACTCGATCAAAAACCATTTTTTATGAAAAACATGAAGAACAAACCCCCCCTATTTTTCAAAGATCTATCAAAAAACGCAAAAATCTTTTGAAAATAAGATCAAATAATGCTCCAAATCTGACAAAGTTGACTGATACAACCAAGCTCTGATACCAATTGTAAGTCCCTAATTTGCCTGTGTATCAATCATATCCGTTTGATGGTGTGGAATCCCAATCAAACGAATGATGTCAGATCAAATAGAAGAGAAGGAGAAGAAGAAGAATATGAATCTATGTATGAATTGATTAGAATGAAGATCCGGATACAAAAGATTCACACACACAAAACTTCTCTCTAGTTTCTCTCTTGTCCGTACACTCCTTACTGTTCATCAATCTCTACTCCTCACCCTAACACCTATATATATACAAGGGAATATGGATTTGGTGAACATGGGCAGTAAATGAGTTTACGGCCGTAAACCTGTTTACGCCCGTAAACACAGCCGTAAACACGTATACGGCCGTAAACACCAAGTTGTTTACGGTCCAAGACACAAAAATACATTTTTCTAGAAAAGTAAAGTATAAACCATATTTTTGACCCAACATGTTGAGGATGTTAATATCAAAGTACATTTTATTAAAACCACATGCCAATTGGTTGATATTTTCACTAAACCACTTGATGGAAAATCTTTTCTAAGAATTTTAAATGGTTTGGGAATGATGGAAGCGTGTTATGCTCTAATCTCTAACTAATTTTTCTTATCTTTGAATTGAGGAGTTTTCGACTAACATTTATTATTAGGATAACTTCATTTAGAGTTTAACGTTCATGTAGAGAGCTTCGATACTCACCGTTTTCGGCATTCGATCTAACTCGCTCATCAACTATTTCCAAATAGCGAAGGTATTAAGAAGGCTTGTGTGAGGAGATAATGAATAGGAAGTGACAATCTTTTTGGGAAGCGTTGGTCTTTTTGAGACTATTTGTTATCAATATTGAAGAAGTTGTGAAAGTCTACTTGTATTTTTCATTGGGTAAAGAAGGTCTAACCTTGGATCCTTTGCACAACTATTTGTTATCCGTGACGATGGTATAACGAAGGTAATATCTTTTCTTTTTTGTTTTTGAAATATTCAAAAAAAAAAATTTATTTTATTTCTTTTATTTTTTAAAATTCAACATTCCAAAAAGATTTTCTTAATTTTTGTCTTTCATTTCTAAAAATCAAAATCCAAAAAAGTATTTTTTTTTTTTTACTTTTGTCTTTTATTGTTAAAAAAACAAAAAAAAAAAACAACAAAATACAAATATATTTTCTTTATTTTTTGGGTTTCAAATCATGATTGGGAAATTCATTTAACACATGTTGCTCAACCATGCACAAGCGAAGCTCAATAGGGATCATATATCATTCATAACTCATGACTAGTTAAATGTACCTAGAAGCATGTTGCAACATGTCGTCCAAAGCCTCAATAACTCATTGTTTATGAAGCCTTATTGAAAAATTTCCTCCGAAAAGTTCTTTGCAATAGGTTGTATTAACAATAGTTCATGAGCTACCTTTTCCTTCTCAATTTAAGTTATGAGACGACTGAATGGTCACTATCATTCACAAAGGTAGAATGGATCTTTTTAACCAATCTTTTTCACCCTAAATTTCTTACATTTACACACACAAATATGCATACCCCAAGATATCTCTTGTAAAAGACAACTAGGATGTAGGTGTGCTAAAACTCTATGTTTATGATCCTAAATCATTTTTCCATGATGAGGGTGAGACCCAATAAACTTTACATCTAAGGAATTGATGGTGAACAATTTTATTGTTTAAGATTTTAACAAAAACTTATGTTTCACTTTACCATTTTAAATCTTCAAAATTTCATTTTCATTTCTTATGCATGATCTTAATGAAATGTACTAAACTCAAGTCATTTATTCCCAATAGATCCAACACTTTAATTTTCCTATGAACAGAGATTTCAGCTTGAACATTTATTTCTATCTTAAGTTACATAAAATTTCCAAAGCTTAGTTGGTGTTGATTACACTGATAACAGAAGTATTTTCTTACAATGGTTCGCTCTTATGTTTAGTTGCGAACTTATTTGAAAGTTAAGCCAACATACGAAGCTTGTTAAAAGATGCCCTTCGATACTTATATAAATGTTATCGATTGTACTTCACGGGAAACCAAGAAAACACTTTGATATATCTCTTGATGTCGAAGGAAGAGTATCATTACCCGGGATCTTACTGTTTTTATGTCAAAGTTTCTTTTATATCACAATGTCCAAAATTTTCTTATTTTGATTCTATTTTTTCCTTTGGCACAAAAAAGCACTGAAATCCTCGATATTTCTGGTATTACAAACTCAGACCTAGATTTTGCAAAGTCTGGCTTATGATTTCATTTATTATTCCCATAAAAAAATTAGAACGAAACTTTATGACTGTTCGTTTTTATTGGGAATAACGAAGTAGTTGTTGTATGTGACGTTCCAGTTGCTTTCTTGTGGCTTGAGCAAACGTGATCACCACTTTTAGACATTGCAGAAGGTCTTAAATTCTTCAATTTCTTAATGGTAGTGTGTGTAAATCTTTTGTTAGTGGTATGGAAGTTGAATTCTTGTTAAAGTATCATGACCCCATGACAAGAATTGTAATTGATGATGTTAAAGGTCTTGACGAATGCATTACAATTAAATCTCGTACTTTGAAATTGAGAAGTTACACGATGTTTCTTGAGAGCGTCATGCGGTTTTTGAGATGCTTGTGAAAACTTCCAAAGATTCAATCGAGTTGAAGCTTAAAGAGTTCAGTGACTTGTTTTCCAAAGAAGTTAAGAAGCTTGATACATTTTGTGTCAGAATCAAAAACAAGGTTGATGTTATGATTGGATCCAATCGTACAATGATAGAAGATATTCATTCTTTCAACAAGGGTTACACTGACGAGATGAAGCTCAAGACAGAAGCAGATGGGAAGTTGTTTGTTAATATTGAGAAGTCTCTCAAGGGCAGATTTCTTCAATGCTTTCATCTGTAAAGTCTTGCTTCAAGACTGAGTTGTCACCAATACTGGATTTAGTCCTTCATTTACCAATAAATGCTTCACATCTAATTGTGAATGTGTCACAATGGGAGAATGGTGGTTGGTTCGTTAAAGGATAGTGGGGAAGAAAAAGGGAAACTCATGGGGAAGCTGATTTCTACCCAGATTCTTACTTCCTTACCAATGAAGGCAATAATGACAATTTCTTCAAATGTCAAAGTTGAACCGAGGAAAGACAACAACATCCTTCCAAATGTCAAAGTTGATTTTTCCAAGCTGCAATCTAAGAAATGGATAAACATAGGGGAAGAAGGTTCAAGTTCTTCAACATCCAAGCCTGTTACAACCTCTTAGCCTAAAGACAAAGGAAAAGGTGTTCATGTTGAACTCTCATCAGAAGAGAAAAAGAAGTTACAAGAACTCAAGACGGAAAAATTAAGGCGGCTAAACAGTATAATGAGGCAAAGAGTGAATGATCCACCAGGTCTCAACAAGGGTGATCCTAACAAAGTATGGCGTTATGAAATGATTGAAAGCACAACTTTTAGCAAAGATGAAGATTTTTTTGTAAAGCCAAAGTAAAGTTACGACACAGAAGATATTGAGTTCAATCAATTGGATTTTCCATTTAATCATTTGTTGTTTGTCATTCCTAAGTTCAAGGTTACAGAAATTCATAAGGATAAGGATGAGTTTAAGAAGCTAAAAGTTCATTTTCATGTTCTGATTAGGAAGAACATAAAGGACGTGTGGTCCTTGGTGAAAATTGCCAAGATTGTGTCGATTGATCCTGATGCATTATTTGAAGGAGTTTTGCAAAATTATTGATATAGTGTTTTCCGAGTAAACAACGTATTATTTGAATTCACCATTTCCAATTTCTCATTGATGAATCTTAATGATCTCATTACGGTTATGAAGCTCTTGGGTTATTTGAGCAAATCCTAAATACACGACAAAGCTTCGTACATCGTCGCATATGAACACATCAAAACCTTTTTGGATGCTTATTTTGCTCATTTAGCTTTCATAGATATTGATCTCTCCATTTCCTTCAACAAAAAGTCAAAAGTTCCTATGGATTTGTTGAAATAGAAAATTAACGTTGATGAATGTGAAGATGGAGAAATTATTCACAAACCGTTAGGAGTTGGGTTCCAGCGCAAAGGAAAGAAGGGAGAAAAAAAGAAATTGCTACTTCACACCAATGATGTAGAAATATACTCCAATCAACATCTTTCTACTATCCTTCTTTACATCAACAATTGTCAAAAAAAAATTTGAATGAATACAAGGTGAGGATAAGGAAGATCATGTTTTGGTACATGGAGATTCGAAAAGTTTTGATGCAGACTATAAAGACACTACCCCCCGTCTAAAGATTCGACATTGATCACAAAAGGGGAGAATTTTGAGTATGTGTTTTGTGATATGTTGAAACTTAGGTAGTGGTCTTGATTACGAATAGTTTGTAAATGACGAAGGTCTACAAGACTTCGTTATGTATGTATTTACTAGGCACATTAGTGGTTTGCTATGTAATGTCGAAGTCCTAGTATTTTTTTGTATCCGTCAGTATCCTATAAATAGGGTAAATACATAAGTGGGTTGTAACTTGTATCACTTGTATGCTCTGAGCTTTCTTTCTCATTACAACTTTACTTGTATCAATTTCGGATAAATTGAGCTGAATCAAGATCTTATTTAGATCTCGGTTTTCATACTTACTCTGGTTTTGTTTACGATTGATTAAAACTTAATTCAAACACCCTTTCCAAAATAACTTCAATCATGAATGGTAGAGCAAGATTTTGTATCCGAGTTCAAAATGCTTACGGGTGATGGACTTGTCATGGAAGATCTTCGTTTTCTCTTTGTACATTATCGAGTTCTCATAGGATTCATTTCTCAACTCTTCCAACTCTTGAAGTTGAAGCCTGCTATGTCTCCCCACTTCATCAATGTTGAAATTTAATTTCTTGACCGCACAAAATTCACGATGCTCTAATTCAACGGGAAGATGATACGGCTTTTCGAAAACCAATCTAAATGCATATCTGCCTATCGGGGTATTGTAAGTGGTCTGATAAGCCCGCAAGGCATCATCAAGCCTTAAACTTCAATCCTTTCTTGTTGTATTAACCATTTTCTCAAGGATATACTTGACTTCCCGATTCGAAACCTCCGTTTGACCATTCATTTGTGGGTGATAGGCGATAGAGACATGATAGGCCACGTTGTACTTCTTCAATAAAGCCTTCATTATCTTGTAACCAAAATGTGCCCTTCGATCACTAATCAAAGCTTTAATCACACCAAAACTCACAAAAATATTAGTATTTAAGTTTTGATAACCGTTTTGGCATCATCCAATTTTGTGGCTTTGGCATCAACCCATTTAGAAACATAATCAACTGCGAGCAAGATGTAAACATTGTCAAATGAGATGGGAAATGGGACCATAAAATCTATTCCCCATACGTCAAAAACTTCACAGACAAGGATTAGATTTTTTGGCATTTAATTCATTTGAGAAATATTCCATGTCCTTTGGCGTTGTTCATAACTTTTACAAAACAAGTAGTAATCATGTATCATGCTTGGCCAAAATAAACCACATTCAAGAACTTTTCTCATAGTTCAGCTAGGTATGAATTGTCCCTCACAAGCAAGTTCATGACAAAATTGTCAAACAGGTTGATGTTATTGTTAGGGAAAATAATGCCTAATGATTTGATCGGGACAATGTTTCCACAAGTAAGGCTCATCCCACACATAATATTTTGCATCATTTTTAGTTTATCTTTTTAAGCATGTGTGAATGTGTCGGGATAGCTCCTCATGGCCAAAAAGTTAACAATATTGGAACACCAAGGAATTAATTGAGTAAGGGAAAAGAGATGCTTATCCGAAAACTCGTCCCACAATGAGAGAGGAGTTTCATTTGAAATGATTCAGATTAGATGGTCAGCAAAAAGGTTTCTGCATCCGCTTTTGTCCTAAATTTCCAAATCAAATTCTTTCAATAGTAAGATTCATCTGATGAGTCTTGGCTTTGCATCTTTCTTTTCCATCAAGTATTGAGAGTCGCATGATCCGAATAGACAATCACTTTGGTACTACGTAGATATTGCCAAAACTTCTCCAAAGCGAAAACCATGGCCAATAGCTCCTTCTCCGTGGAAGAGTAGTTGCTTTGAGAATTGTCTAGTTTCCTTGATGCATAGTAGATCACATGGGAGGCTCTTCCATTCTTTTAACCCAAAATGGCACCTATAGTATAGTTTCTTGCATCACACATGATCTCATATGGGAGATCCCAATTTGGTGCTTGTATGATAGGAGTGTATGTAAGAAACTCTTTAAGCTTGTCAAATGCATCTTTGCATGCCTCATTGAACTCGAAATAGGCATCCTTCTATAAGAGTTAGTACATTGGTCTTGTTATCTTTGAAAATCCATTGATAAATCTTCAGCAAAAATCCATATGATCTAAAAAAGAATAAACTTCCCGAACACATCTCAGGTATGGTAATCTTTGAATTACATTAATTTTAGCTTTATCTACCTCAAATGCTTTTCTTTGACCCAATGCGATACAAAATAAGACCTTTACTTGCCATAAAATGGTGTTTTTTTTGAAATTTTAGACCAAATTTGTTTCAATGCATCTTTTCAAAATTTGTGAGGTTGATCAAACATTCTTGAAAGGAATTACTGTATATCGTAAAATCATCCATAAAAACTTCATTTATGTTTTCAACGTATTCTGAAAAAATACTAACCATATAATGTTAGAAAGTAGTCGGGGCATTACACAATCCAAATGGCATGCTGCCGGTATGCAAAAGTGTCAAATGGACATGTAAATGTTGTCTTTTCTTGGTCTTCCGGTGCCACCAGGATTTGGTGAAAACCAGAATACCTGTCTAGACAACAATAATGAGACTTCTCGGCCAACCTTTCAAACATTTGATCAATGAAAGTCAATGGGAAATGGTCTTTTCTCGTGCTTGCATTAAGCTTTCAATAGTCAATACATACTTTCCACCCGTTTTTCACATATGTGGGGACCATTATACATTTGTTGTTTTCGACCATTGTGATTCTCGTACTCTTTGGTACCAATTTCACCAAACTCACCCACATGCTATCCGAAATTGGATAGATCATTCCCACTTCATGAAACTTTAAGATCTCTTTCTTCATAACTTGCATCATGGGTGGATTCAGTCTTCTTTGTGCATCCCAACTTGGCTTGCACTCATCCTCCATCAAGGTTTTATGTATACAAGTGGAGGGACTCTACTATGTTATATTCACAATTATCAAACCCATTGCTTCTTTGTGTCCCTTCAACACTTTGAGGAGTTTTTTGTGACAACCCGAATTTTATTTGCTTTATGAGTATAGTCAACCTTAAGTCAGACTCGCTTCTGCTATCTTTTAGCATTGTTTAGACTCTGTTTGAGTGTTTTTAGCCTAGTACACTTAAGGAATGAGTGTTAGGAAATACCTGCTAGAGACATTGTGCAACGTTCAAGCCTTAATCTCCACCAAAAAGGAGTTCATGGCCAAATCACAAGAGTATACAGTCATATACTCAAGGCTGGCCGTAAACTCCTCCATATAGTCTCATTCCCTTCATTTTCTTTCATTATTTCACTTCAAGCCTCAAGAACTTCCACTTCTCTCTCAAGTATCATGCATCTTTTCATCCTAGATCTTCCAAAAAGTAAGTGATTCTTCCTTTGTTTCATTGATATATCTCTTAATCTAGTATCATCTCATGATTTCATCCATGGAAATCATCTTTTCTTAGATCTTCAAGAAACACCAAGAACACACACTAGTGTTCTTGGACCTTAATCACCATTTTAAGCCTCTATATCGTAAGTACTCTCTCATTAGCTTGTTATATAGTTGAAACACTATATCATAGCCTTAAAACTTCATCAAACTCATCATCAAAGAGAGTTTATGGCCATAAGTTTACACCCTGGCCGTAAACCCTTGAAAGTGTGGTGTTTTGTGCCTTAAACACTTCTAGACCCTTGCTAATCCTTAGAACACTTGAACCTTTGAAACTCCTTGCCTTTAAGACCCAAGATAAGTCTGTTTTGTGAGTTTACGGCCATAGAGTTT